GCCTGCCTGCCTGCCTGCCTGCCTGCCTGCCTGCCTGCCTGCCTGCCTGCCTCCCTTCCCCTTTCTGCTTTCCTAGCAGTGAATGATAAGGAAGTATGCCTGTTAGCAAAAGTTCTATTAAACAAACTGACACTGAGCATAGAATAGAAAAGGACACAATTAATATATATTGCTTTTTGAAAATAACTTTTAAAGCTATTAATAACTGCACAATTAATTGATCAAGTTATAGACAAACATCACATAGTTTAAGTGATAAGCCTATAGGCTATTACCATCTCTTGCTGTCCTCCCTGCTACAGGCATATTTAAAGATATTAATCAACACTATATGTTAAAAGAACAATCACATTACCAGATTGTAATACATCAAAACGTTACTGTTTTTTCCTCTTCATTTGTTTAAAGAAATTCAGAAAAAGAGATGAAAGGGGTTGGGAAAAGAAGTGGCATGTTTCTTAGAACAATTTATTTTAAAACTTAAAAATCAGGTGCCCTCAAGTCAGACTTAACTCCTGGTAATTGCATAGAGTTAAAAACGTTTTGAAATAAACTGGAAATAGCAGGGGTTTCCTTCCAATCTCTAGGGAGCACTGCTGATAATTCAGAGTGACAGGGGTCACAAGCATAAATTCTAACCTAACAATGGGCACCCTGTAGAAAAGAATACCTGACTGTGCTTTAGAATTAAAATATATCGTTTGTGTTCAAATCTCAGCAACTCTGTTCTCTGATCCTAGTTTGCTAGTCAGTGATTAGAAGTTGAAGAGTTAAGTATTCCATCAGCTAGTTCTACCCCTACTTCGCAACTGGCGTGGCTATAATGCTTAAACTAATTAAATTCAGGGCATGTATAGTGTAGCCGAACATTTTAGATCCACCGCAGCTATTGAATTATTGAACCTCAGGGGAGGGAGGAAGAGATCGGCAACATGAAAGCAGTATTAGACATGTTTAGCTTCCCTCATACTCCATAATCAAGAGCTTTATGAAGACCCGATGAATCACTCTATGAACCTCCCACTTCCCCCCCCCTTTCTTTTTAATACTGGCACAAAGTTGAAACTTGTGCTTTCAGCCCATAAATTTAACCCACCAAAACTGTCCCTGCCGCTGCAGAAAAACAAAGGGGATTCAGAGACCAAAACAAAACAACCAGGATTCCCTACCCCGCCCGACACCCTCCTGGGCGGGTTGCGCAAGCGAAGCAGGGTCGGGATAGCCAAGGAGAAGCATCAGCGTTCAAAGCAAGAAGCGCTTTTTCTGGTCAAACGTCTTCCACAAGTGCTCCTGCGCCCGGTCCAGATCCCACCAGCCCCTCCGCCAGCAAGGCAGACTCCCCGTTGGGAGCCCTTGGCACATTTTGTTCCAAAAAGCCCCTTCCAAAGAGGATGCCAAAGCCACCAGCGCGCCCTCCCGGTCACCTTTCCCGTCTCCGCGGAGCAACCACTCACCAAGATCCCCATGACATCCGTCCAGAGCCTGGAGAAACTCTCGGGCACGCCGCCGCCGCTGTCGCTGCCGCTCGCGCCCGCCTGGGACTCCGCACCCGAGGCTTGCTCCTCTTCCTCCTCCATCGCCCGGTTCCTCTCAGCGAGCGGGGCTCAGCACACGAGCCGCGCACAGGAGCGTGGCGCTGGCCGAGGGCGACCCCACAGCCTCAAACCCTCCCGCCTGGCCGCCAGTCCAGCCTTCCTAGCCCGAGCTTCTGGCCAGCCTCTCCAGCATGCCGCCCCGTCCTTCCCCGGCTCTCCCTCCCCGCAGGGACGCCCCGCAAGAGAAGGTGGGAGGCTGTGGGGCCCTTTGGGAAGTGCCGCCGGATTCGGGCTCAGCTCTCCTTCGCGCGCCAGAGATCCTCCATGTCCCGCACAAACTTTGCCCACTTGCCGCGGCAAAGCAACAGGATGGCAGAGCCAAGCGAGGCGCAACCACGCTCTTTCTGTGGGGGTGGTCGAAGAAACCCTGCTCCAGTGTTCAGGAGAAAAGATGGGGGTCCCTTCCTTCTTTCGGCGAGCACAAAAGACGTCTGGGTAGAAAAAGCGTGGCGAGATTCTCCCAGCTCAAACTGAGAACCGGCTAGGTGTTAGGTTTCAACTTGTCGACAACTCTCGCTTTCTGCCCTTTTCCCAACATGGACTCTCCCAACTCCACATGACTGCTAGTTCGGGCTCTCTCTCGGAGAAAGCTTTTAGCAACAAAAGGTGCTCTGATGTCAGCCCCTTCGCATGGCAATGAGCCCCAGACAAGCGAACCAATATCCTGGTGAAAGAGCAGAGCCGCTGAAGGCTCTGAGTGTCCAAGTTTTCAATCGCATTACCGCGATCTTTACTTGGCCAGCGCCGCTCGGAGGGTTAATAGTTAAGCCAAGCCAGCCTCCCGCGTAGGTTTCAGACGTGCACACCTTCGCTTTGCTTTCCAGGAAGCCTCTTCTCTAAGTCTGCCTAGGTTGCTTTCTCGTTACGGAAACAAGCTCTAGAAACGTCACGCCCTGACACTTTCGTCTGTGTTCTCATCGCTTCAGCACCGGCACGTGCGGTCTGTGGGTTCCAGAGCGCGTTTGGGGAACGTTCTCTGCGTTGCGAAGAATCCACTCGCGCACTGAGCAGAGGCAAACGCAAAGTTTCCTACACTATTAAAGGAACTCAGCTGCTTCCAAAGGTTGGTAGCTGCAGAATACCCCTGACCACTTATTTCTTGCATTCACACTTAACAATGTAGGGATCCACCAGGGAATATCTTAATACACTTAAAATGCAACAGGTACCTAGATATTTTATACAAGTGGCACTTGATCGTGACTACACTCAACACACCTGATGTCTATGTGCTGGACCACATGTGTGAATGTTGGCACATAGATACACCCCTATGCACATGTTCTCCAAGGAATTGGAGCCATTCCATTTATTAACATCCAGTAAGTTGAGAGGATGAATCAGCCAGTATGGTCCAGACTCCACCCTTCCCCTCCATATCACATTCTCCATATGCAAGTCTAAAACTGGCTTCTGAAATAGTCCATAGCACAGCATTCATGCATTTCTTCCTAAGTTTTCCCCATCTTAGTTGTTCTATCTGGTATTTACTACCTGGCTTGACATCCTCACATTCAGATTCCCCATGGCTTTCCCTGGGGGAGCTGGGAATGTAGAAAGTGGTGGTGAGTCCTTGTAGACATATGGTTGCAACCTCAAAGAAGGTCAGGAAAACTTACAGAGGGCTTTTGTGAGCAGCCCAACTTAATCAGCAAGGGCATTGTGCCTAAAGCATTCAAAGATGCCTTGTTTTGCTAGACAAAGGTTTTAAACAAAGCACCAGTACAATGTTCAAAGGAAGGGGAAAAACACTTTTGCCAAACATAGCCTCTTCACACAAAATCCTTTAGAAATGGCACAAGTGGCACAATGGAATCAAAATAGTTATATATTGCAGTCCTAACCGTGTTTATTTGACTGCCAAGGGTTAGGCATAAAATTGTAGTCTAAAGACATTGTAACAATCTTTTTGTTTTGATTTTTAGTAGAAGAATATCAGACAACAGTGCAAAAACATTGTTTATGAAAACTATTTTTCTTAACAAAATAAAATTTCTCATACTATTTAGAAAAGAGAGGTTATAATCTCTTTAAATGTCTTAGGAAAAGAAAACTGTAATGGTGCAAACACAGTTCCTTCTTCCCCTCTTAAATCTCAGCTAAGACAATTCAAAACATCTCAGTGTTTATTTAAACTGCTACCATTTACATTTATGCCACCATACATAACTGCCACCAACAAACAACTTGAAACAAAAAAACCTGAACCAGGAAGTTGTGCTATCCAAATCTTTTTGTTTCAAATATGTAGTGAACTGCACAGAAGTACAATGAACTTCTATAAACCTCTAATAAACTTGAACAAACACATTGCTGCCCTTTCTGAATGTGCTGTTCCATTGTGGCTGAAATTTTGGGCTATGCAGTATTATCCACCAGCTTCTTCCAAATTCATGCCCTATCAAAGTATTGGCCTTCATATCCCTTTGGTCATGTCAACTGAGGATTATGGGAACTGAAGTCCAACACTTCTGGAAGGCATCTTGCTAGAAGAAAGCTGCTTCGGAAAGCCTGTTACAGGGAGCCATACATCATGCAGGCAAGAATCATTATTTGTTCATGGAAGTGTCGTTCATAAATGATGCTCTATACACAAGGGAGGAAGCAAGTAGGTCACATGGGACAATAGTTATTCACTGACTCAGTGTGAGCATAAGTATAAATTCTAGCCATTGCTTCATCTAAAGGACAACATCCCTATTTAAGGTTTTCTATCTGCTGGCACATAAAGGGTGATCTGATATGTCTGCGAGATACAACCCTAAGTACCTAAGGACTGTGTCTAAGTGATCATGTTCTAGAATTATGGCATAATTCACAATCTGTTATTGAGACAATAAATACTCCGTGGGGGAGTACATTAAAGTCTAATCGTTTTACTACTGCATAAGCCTTCAGAAGATCAAAGTTCACTTCATCAAATGCAGTGTCTTGAGAAAAGAGTATTTTACACACACACCAAGCTGTTGTCAGGGTGAGCTGCGGGGGAGGAAAGGAGAGATCAGAGCCAGAATAGATGGCAAGCATTAACATAGCTGTAATTAGATGTGACTCACAGAATTTTTGCACTATCCTTTGTACTAGTGCAAGCTACCTCTGATCTGGTGAGGCAGTATGTTGCACTCATGCAGCTGCGCAACACAATATTCAGCATGATTTCCTCCTGGCCAGAAGGGTAAAGGGTCATATGAGGTCTCCATTCTATTAGTGCTATCTTAATCAGCCTTCCCCAATCTGATTTTTTCCAGCTGAAATTCAGCACATCTGGTCATGACCATGACCAATTTCCATGACAGTTCGACTAAGTGCACAAATCATTCAAACTCGGGAACTTACATGACAAATATCATACAAGACTCTACAATCACATACTGAAGCATGGCAATGACACACAGCACGACATGGTACCCTACTCTCTACTCTTCATCCCATCACGGTTCTCCTCCTGCAATGCTCCCTGGCTAAGATGCACTAAAACGGAACGAAGAACATCCCAAGTTCTCCAATGTTCATAGTGCCCAGAAGAGTGCCAGATAACAGCTGAGAAAGAAGCTCTCCAACTACTGTAAGCTATCATGAACAGAGTCATTACAAGACAGATTTCTTATCAAGCCCAACCCTATTGGAAAAAACATGCTGCTTCCTGGTTGAAAGAGTTGTAATGAGTTAACATAGGCAACAGAAAGAAAACATCGGGTGACAATTGCAATGGAAATTTGCAAGTTTAAAAATAAAAAGAGGGGGAGGAGGACAGACTTTCTAGCTATGTTACTGATTGATCTGTAACTAACTCTAGCTTAACTTTCATACTGAAATTTCAAAATTCATACTGAAGTATTAAACTGGAAAATCCTCAAGAAACCTGATTTAGTGCCTGAAGGGTACAGTGGTACCTCGGGTTACGAACGCCTCTGCTAATGAACTTTTCGGGTTGCGACCAGC